GGCAGCTGCTCTAAGGTCTCCCCTTAAGGAGCCTTCTCTTCTCCAGGCTGAACCAGCCCAGCTCTCTCAGCCTGTCTCCAGGGCAGAGCTGCTCCAGCCCTCACAGCATCTCCATCCCTTCCTCTGGACTCGCTCCAACAGCTCCATGTCCCTCTGGTGTTGTTGCCCCAGAGCTGGACACAGGACTGCAGGGGAGTCTGCCCAGAGCGCAGTAGAGCGAAAGAATCCCCTCCCTCGACCTGTTGCTCACCCTGCTGAGTATGCAGCCCAGGGCACAGGGGGGAATCTGCTTGCAGTGGGATCCTCCAGCATCACACCTCTCTTTTCCATTGAACTTAAACCCTTTGTTCCAAATACATATAGAGTAAAGCAATGGCAGCATTTGCTGCCACCATGTCATTCACTCTCTGTCCTTTTCCCTCTCTCCCCTGCTTCACATCTGTCTGTCTTACCCAGGACAACAACACATTCTTCAGAGCATAGGCTGCTCATGTTTATGCCCTGTCTAGATATTCCTAATTAGTTCTTAAGCATAACTATGGTATCAAAGTCCATTAATAACTATTCTTTTCTGATTGCTTCATGACTAATGGCATGCACCTGTGAATATGTTTCTAAGCAAGCTGACAGTCTGCTTGTGGCAGGCAACTCAGTTATGCAAATTTCTACAGAAGCAAAATATAAAGGAATAGTAGCTAACTGGATTTTCAGGTTATAAAAGCCTAAAAGTAAAGAGTTGTTGTAAACAACATACAGGAACACTGGGATTTCTTTGAAGATAACTAACTGTATTTATAGACACCCAGAATGTTTGGGTTGGAAGGGACCTTAAAGATCATCCAGTTCCAACACCCCTGCCAGAGGCAGGGACCCCTTCCACTAGACCAGGTTGCTCCAAGCCCCATCCAACCTGGTCTTGAACACTGCCAGAGATTGGGCATCTGAAACTTCCCTGGGCAACCTGTTCCTGTGCCTCACCTTCGCAGTGAAGCAGTGAAATTTTTTTTCCTGGTATCTAATCTGAATCTACCCTCTTTCAGCTTAAACTGATTCCCCCTTGTCCTATCATTGCATGTCCTTTTAAAAAGTTGCTCTCCATTTTTCCTGTAGGCCCCCATTAGGCACTGGAAGGCTGCTATATGAGTCTCCCTAGAGCCTTCTCTTCTTTAGCCTGAACAAGCCCAGCTCTCTCAGCATGTCTTCATAGGAAAGATGCTCCAGCCCTCTCTTTTAAAGCTGTGTTAATCACTGATTAATTAAACATCAATTTCTGAATCATAGAATCAACCAGGTTGGAAAAGACCTTTATGATCATCAAGTCCAACCTTTATCCTAGCACTGCCAAGGCCACCACTAAACCATGTCACTGAGGGCCTCATCTACACGGTCTGTGAATACTTCCAGGGATGGTGACTCCACCACTGCCCTGGGCAGCCTGTTCCAATGCCTGAACACCCTCCTGGGGAAGAAATTGTTCCTAATCTCCAGTCTAAATTAGGCTGAACCCAGTGCAGGGAGGAAAAACAGGCAGAAGACTCAGGCCCCAACCACTTCCTATCCTCATTGTGTTGACTTCACGAGGGACAGCAATTAGCTGGTCTGTTCTGGAGAGTAATAGCTAAAGAAAATGGGCAGGACTAAAAATGGCTCTAGAAGATGACAGTGGTGCGTACACACCAGGTTTTTCTAACCACCTGGGGAGCTCAGGAGAGATCAGTATATCCTTTTCTCCTGGAGCATGCCTTGGGTGGAGAAAAGGGCACCGAAAATCCCTGGTTTCTTTGAGCCACTGCATGGGGAAGGGGACGGGTCACACTGCAGAGCCTGAGTAAGAGCTTCTTCACATTGCTTTGAACTTTTCTGTTGAAAAGCTGATCCTCGTGGGGCCTCATTGATGATATAGAAGGTGCCGCACTGTGGATATACTAAAGCCTCAATAAATATATTAATACAGGGAATAGATTTATCCCACTATGAAAAGAATGCAGCTGAAAAACTCAAAGCAGCCTGTTGGTCCTGTTTTAAAGAAATCAAAGGTTAGATTATTTTAAGGATGGGGTATTAATGCTGAACGGTACTCAGGCCACATCCTTTCTTGCAGTGCTGCTATGATGAAATAGAGAGTTACACTGACTCGGACCATGTAAAGCTCATGTCAATTTGGCTGCAAATGAGACAAAGAAACAACATTTCAGTTTTACCACAGCAGGAGGGATGTTTATGCTCTGACAGAATTATTCCTCCATGCTCCATCCTAATTAAGCACAAGTACAATGAATCCAACATTGCTTCGTCTGGTACAGCTTTCCCCAGGGAAAGTCATTACATAGCCCACTCCACCTCAGTTCCTTCACCTGAATAAACTCCTTTTTACATGTTTATGACACAACCAACTCCTAATCCTTTTGAATACTCAGATTACTTTTAAAATTGGTGTTAAAGAATCCACTAAGGCCCAATGACATTGGAAATTTAACCTCTACTGTGTGGTACAGAATATTAGTTTAGCGTTACCTACATTAACAATAGTTGTTGCAAGAAATTTTGGACATTTTTTCTGTTCTGCTTTCTATGGGCCAAGAGATTTAAAGGTTGCCACAGCCTTATTGCCAGATTCTTTACTTGGAGAACAGCCAGCTCTTTTTTATGCTACAGGTTAAATAAGGATCCCTTGCTTTCCTTCTTCACATCAAAGAACAAACCCCACTAAATTAGCATGTACTGTGACTGGTGGCAATCCTCAGCACCTCTGATAAACGGAGAGAGAAGATTCCAGAATATCCTGGGAATGGAAAGAATGAGAAATAAGCTCAGGAGTAAAGTGCAGGATGCCGGTTATGACACGTCTGACAAGTCTTTTACTTACTGTACTCTCATGCTGGTCATATCCTATATCCTCAATAGCTCGGATGTTGATGATGTGGATCCCCTTCTCCTCAGCAGGTAGACAGGAGTATGTCTTGTTCACCCTCATTTCTGTCTCCCCTGGACCCTCGTTGAGATCTTCTGGCAGAAAATCCACCCCACAGAACTCCCTGTCTGCGTCTGAAAAGAAAAGGCACAGTTTCATCATGACGCTTTTAATCCCTACCCTTGCTCCTCCCAGAGCCACCCAAAAGCTGAAACGTATCCTGTTCCTGCCTTCTTCTGCCAATGAGCCCTTGTGCAGGGCTCCCACCCCTTATCCCTGCCTCCTCCACAGTCCTCTTTAGCCCTGCATAGGTTTCCTCCTCTGCAGGAGGAGTGCTCAGTTAACTTTTAAGCACTGCTGTCTCAGGATGTGTTTACTCTGTGGTCTCCTAGAGTAGTTCTATTTCTCAGTAAAAGAAGGAAAGAAGGGGGAAAAAAAGAAAAGTAGTCTGAGAATGAGCTGGTGGCAATAGGTGGCACAGTGTTTTCCCCTTTTCAGTAGGCATTTTCTCCTTCAACAAGCACTTGTTCATGCTGAAAAACTAAGCAGTGGGTTTCCTCTCAAGTCCCTATGTACTGTATCTGATTTATGGAATCATTCTTATTTAAGTAAGACTTGAAAGTCTAAGGTTTGCTCCCGCTCACCCTGCCAGATATCCATATGTTTCCACTTCTCATTGAAGTCTATAGATGGGCTAAAGGATTTCATGTAAAAATTTCCCTACCAACTAAGCAACCAGATAAAATGCAAACTAGTGTTTGCATATGTGCATTTATGCCAGCAATAGAAGGCAAAGTTTTCCAAGATTTTATTCTTTTTGACATTAAAATAAAACACTGCAGCTTTATGGACTTTTTTATTAACCACATAGGAGCTGGATTTGCTTGTGTAAAGAGTGAAGATAAAGCAAGAATTTTTGAATGGATACCAAATTAGCTCTCTCCCAAGAATGAACCACAAAACCAAGCCGAGAAACACGCTCTAATAGCAACTATATCATGCCAGGCTGTTGCTGCAACTAGTCAACACTGTCCCTGGAGCAGATAGGGACAGATATTTTATACAATTAGCCCATTAGGAAAAATACTTCCCTCCTACGTAGAGTTGCCCCTAAGCTTCTGAGGGGAAGACAGATACCACATTTTCATTAGCTATGTCTTAGACTAAGAGCATGTTACTCCTCTTCACCAAACTACCTGTCTGGATTTGGTTGAACTTCAGGGATGCTTTGGAATGAAGAAACAGGGAAAATCTCATTCCCAAACAAGTCTTCAGATGAAGAGAATCTGAGAAGCATGGTTGATAAGCTGGAGGGGTCTCCAAAGGGTGGAAGAATTAGAATCATAGAATCATAGAATAGTTAGGGTTGGAAAGGACCTTAAGATCATCTAGTTCCAACCCCCCTGCCATGAGCAGGGACACCACACGCTAAACTATGTCACCCAAGGCTCTGTCCAACCTGGCCTTGAACACCTCCAGGCTTGGAGCATTCGCAACTTCCTTGGGCAACCTATTCCAGTGCCTCACCACCCTCACTGTGAAGAACTTCTTCCTTATATCTAACCTCAACTTCACCTGTTTTAAGTTTAAACCCATCACCCCTTGTCCTACCACTACAGTCCCTAATGAAAAGTCCCTCCCCAGCATCCTTGTAGGCCCCCTTCAGATATTGGAAGGCTGCTCCGAGGCCTCCACACAGCCTTCTCTTCTCCAGGCTGAACAGCCCCAACTTTCTCAGCCTGTCTTCATACAGGAGGTGCTCCAGTCCTCTTATCATCCTCGTGGCCTCCTCTGGACTTGCTCCAACAGCTCCATGTCCTTTTTATGCAGCCTCATGGAACTCACCAAAGTCAAATATAAAGTCCTGCACCTGGATAGATCATTCTCGAGCACAAACTGGGCATGAAGTGGATAGAAAGTAGTTCCATGGAAAAGGACTTGAGGGTCCTGGTGGACAGGTTCAAAGTGAGTGATTGTCTTCAGTGGTGAAAGGTAGCTGCATACAGGACTCCATTAGTAAGAAAGCCAAGACAGCAGATCTAGGGAAGCAATCTTCTCCTTTATTTGACACTTGCCAGACCACAGCTGGAGTGCTGTGCCCAGTTTTGGCTCGTCAACACAAGAAGGAGATTGACAAACTTGAGCAAGGTTGTGTAAGAATGGTCAGGGGCCTCAAAGCATACAAGTCAAGGCTGAGACCTGTATTTATGCAGCCCAAAGAAGAAAAGACAAATGAGGGGATCCAAGGGCTAGAGTACCTCTGCTCTGGAGACAGGCTGAGAGAGCTGGGCTGGGTCAGCCTGGAGAAGAGAAGGCTCTGGGGAGACCTTAGAGCAGCTTCCAGTGCCTAAAGGAGCTACAAGAAACCTGGAGAGAGGCTTTGGACAAGGGCCTGTACGGACAGGACAAGGGGGAATGGCTTTAACCTGACAGAGGAAAGATTCCTAAGTTGAGCTCTTAGGCAGAAGTTGTTCCCTGTGAGAGTGCTGAGGTGCTGGCACAGGTTGCCCAGAGAAGCTGTGGCTGCCCCATCCCTGGCAGTGTTCAAGGCCAGGTTGGACGGGGCTTGGAGCAACCTGGTCTAGTGGAAGGTGTCCCTGCCCATAGCAGGGGTTTGGAACTAGATGAGCTTTGAGGTCCCTTCCAACCCAAACCATTCTGTGATCCCAGTGTTCCACTACCTAGTGAGTAGATACAGACACGGCAGATCAAGATTCTTCCCGTAAGTGCACAGCAAAAGGATAGGAGGCTACAGACAAGCTGCAACAAGGGAAATTACCATCAGAGATAAAATATATATTAATTCTTTAACGATGAGAGTGATCACAGGATGAAGAAAGGGCCCAGTGAAGCTACAAATCTGCATCCATCGCAGAGAGATGGTCAGAGCTCAACTGCACATGGTCCCAAGCAACCTGACCCAACTTTAATGTTGGGAGAGCACTGGATGAACCTGCAATGCAGGTTCTTCATGGTGACACGCAGGAGTTTAGCATGCACAACAACCTATAACAGCAGAGGAAGAAGGTGCAGCCAAGGCTTTGGCACACTTCTTGAGTTAATCAGAGTGAGAAAAGCATTATCAGCATGAAAGTCATGTTTCTCTGGAACTCGCAGACACATGAGTATATGGCTCTTCAGTTCTTATACCTGGGAAATCTGCTGCCTCAAGAGAGTCTCTACAAGCTGCCTGCTTTCCTAGGAACTGTAGCACTCACTAACACCATCCCCTTGGCATAACATCTGGGCAGCAATTAGCCTGACATGTTTCATGTACACCACATGTAACACCCATATCTCTGCACATCTGTACTGCTGTTCCTGGATCTTCTTTCAGACGCTCAAGTAGTTATCTCAGAAAAGATGCCCCACTTGCAATCTTAAGGCAGCACACACAAACTCAGCATATCACTTGAATAACAATTTGTACTAGTTAAAGCAGCTTTTTATGGGGTAATACAGAGATGCAGCCAAAATACCAGCTGTCTCAGGGGAGCGACTAGCATGTTTGCAACAACTCCCTGCACATGGATGCTCTCTTTTTCCCAGCATACACATGCATTCAAGGCCAGGTTGGATGGAGCTTGGAGCAACCTGGTCTAGTGGAAGGCGTCCCTGCCCACAGCAGGGGGATGGAACTGGTTGAGCTTTAAGGCCCCTTCCAAACCATACCATTCTGTGATTCTATGATAAATACACACTCCCTGAACACATGGGAATTGAAACAAATGTGATAAGCTGCAGAATCAGATGTACTCACACTTTTATTCTATAGCTGTAAAATACTCATTTAGTAATACAACAACTTTTGGAACTTTGTCAGCATAACAACCTGTGTTTTTATTTAGAAGAATGCCTGAAGCAACTTTCTAGAAACAGTAGCATAAGTGCTATAAAAATACTGTGTCCTTTTCCTCCTTTCACATCTTGTTGGGCTTGTTTAGTCTGGAGAAGAGAAGGCTCAGAGGAGACCCTAGAGAAGCATTCCAATACCTAAGGAGGGCCTACAAGAAAGCTGGAGAGGGGCTTCGGACAAGGGCCTGTAGGGACAGGACAAGGGGGAATGGCTTTAACCTGACAGAGCGGAGATTGAGATGAGATCTTGGGCAGAAGTTCTTCCCTGTATGAGGGTGCTGAGGCGCTGGCACAGGTTGCCCAGAGAAGCTGTGGCTGCCCCACCCCTGGCAGTGTTCAAGGCCAGGTTGGATGGGGCTTGGAACAACCTGGTCTAGTGGAAGATGTCCCTGTCCATGGCAGGTGGTTGGAACTGGATGAACTTTAAGGTCCTTCCAACCCAAACCAGTCTGGGATTCTACTGAGTATGAATCTGAATATAATGAATATTTCACAATGAACCTGTGAACTGAAAAGTGCTAGTTCAGAAATTGTGATTGGGAAGGATTAGGTTTAGAGCAGAAAATCACAAGCTTCATTGAGTCCAGACAAGCAGCATTTGTTAAGTCCACAGTAGAGAGCAAGGAGACCTGTTCAAATGATTCAGTCCTATTGTGTAAACCCAAACAATCACCCAGCTGCGAGCATATATTTACACTGCTGTTTACCCATCTGTAGCTTGGCAATATATTGGAAAGAACAAATACCTCAGGTAGACAATGAATCATACCAGTTTGGTTCATTGTATCTACTGGAAAAGATGTGAAATAGGAGAACTTTATTAATACAATCATAATTACAACAAGTCGGATTTCTCTACTTCAAGATGATGTCAGGATTTAATACTAAGTAAAGCCATCCAAGCCACCTGGGTAATTACAAACACGGATTATACCTAGTGCACTTATGCTGATTTGGCAGAGGTCAAACCAGTCTCTCGTGGAACACAAGAGACTTATTATATGGAATAGAGTTTTTTAAAGACTTAAAAACATCAATCTCTATTTTGAGTTAATTGTACTAAACAAGGACAATAATTTCATCTCAAAATAAATTCATGTTCAGAATTATTTATGGGAAGATAGTAGATGCAATATGAGGAGCACAAAGCACATTCACGTCAATTCAGATAGAGTCACATCTTAATCTCTCTGTTAGGAGCTGAAAGA